AAACTGCTCGTTGAATCGGAGAGGGAGGAGCAATCATCTAAGAAAACTCTGCAGCTGGCATCAAACTAGCTTCTTTCAATAGCAATCCTGTTGCTTCAGTGATCCTCTAGTACAAGGACTAGCTGTAGGCTGCTTACAAATTTTGCATGTCTCTGACAATAGCTATTAAGGCATAACAAAAGACGATCAAAGAGGCTGAGTTGACACCAGAAAATTCAGGTTTTCAGCTTAAAACACAGATTTATCCTTACTTGTCTGTTCATTTGTAAGATGAAGTGGGATGAGGTGGGAGCTGAAACAAGCAGTTCTTCATACAACACTGTAGGCAACCTTTTTTCCAGGTATGGTCTTACCAAACTACTGCTAAGAACGTGCCATTCCACATATGCATGCTTCTAGGGACTCACAGGGAAACGGTGGGAATGATGACTAACTCCTTGTTTTGAAACCATGTTAAAAGAGGTCAGCGACAACAAGATGTCTGAGGCCAAAAAGTAGTGGGTTTTTTTTGCATGAAATTCTTTACATGGCCTCAAATGTGCTTAAAATTATATCTGAATATATGACCCCTTGGGTAAACTGCCTTTTTGCTCTCCACTGAGGCTGGGGAACTAAGTGGTAAATGAACAAGAGCATCAGGTGCTGCCAGTGAAGGAGGAGGCTGCACAGAGCCTCTTTGGCTGTGCAGATGGGCACTGTTCCAGGGGCACTCTGTGCTGCACACAGTGCCAGTGGCCACTCTGCATGACTGCAAAGATGAAACCTTCCTTCTTCGCTGCCTGAGCCAATAGGTAGTTACAAATTTCACTTCTTAATCCTGAACACACAACAGATTAGACTCATCACAAACTCTTACAGTTCAGAAGAAGTCAACATTGTTGCCATTAGGGTTCAGATATGGCTGTACTGTTACTACACAAAAGGTGATCGCCATGTAAACCAAGTATTTCTGCAATCATAAACTCCATCACTTAAACTAAAAGAAGTTTGTAATAAAATTAAACACCCAGGTATCTAAGAGCTCTATCCAACAGAGCTACCTATGCCCTTCAATAAAGATGTTTAACATATGGATCAACATGTTTTTCCAGACGAAAAGAACAGGAATTTAGGTTAATTTAATAGAAAAAATAAAATATGGAATAACATTGATTTTGGCCAGTATCAATTACAACAGAACTACCCTATTTTACAAATAGCAACTGAACATTTTACACATGTACAGTATTTTTTTCAGTAAAAATGGATTTTGTTAAAACAATGTCAGCTTTTCTTAAAGAAAACAAAGTTATTAATTTCTTCTGTCTTATACTGTTAGAGACATTTGTAAGTATCCAAACAGATTCTTTACAATCCATTACATAATTAAATCTCAATAGTGAATATATATTTATATATAACATATATAATATTAACTTAAACTTTGAAAGCATTATGTTCTATTTAAACACGTTATACTGAGAAATGAGGCAGTAACAGACTAGTAGTTAAACTAGCACAAATTTGAATGTTTATCAAGAAATTTGTAATGGGCACCAAAGGAGCTTGACTGCACTCTGTCATACTGAACCAGGCTGAAATAGTTTATCTGCTCTCTGCTATAGAGGACAGTAGCTCTAAAGGTTTGAATTAGTTTGTTTGACATCCACATTCATTTTTGATCCCCTTTATTTTCCAGGATTTACATGCTTGAACAGCTGAAATCCATTCTCTGTTTGTATGTCCTGGAAAGCTAACTGAGACAGACACTTTGCATGTTTTAAGTATTATCCCCAGTAAACAGTATCTTTGAAGTTCTATTTTCTGTGAAACGACTGTCTTTTGAACAGTATGCTGAGTGAAACTGAAGAAGACAAATTAAACAGAAATTTTTACTGGCAGCCATGTGCCTGGGTAGAAAAAGAGCGAGGCTGGGGCCACTTCCCTTATTACTCAGAACTATTTTACAGTGAGGTAACTCCATTTGACTTAGCAGGACTATTCCTGCTGAAATTTCTATTGTGAGCAGTTAAAAGCAGATTCAGGCCCATCATGGCTCCAAGAGAACCACTGATTTATTGCCCTATATACAATTTTTCCTAGAGGTGTATTTGGCACAATTATAAATCCAGTCCTGTAAACACATCCTGTTGTATATAGTCACACTGGCATTTACATATGGGCACTATGAAATAGTTCCACATATCTGTATGATAATATCCCCTTTTTAAATGAACATTACAAGACAACAATAATTTATGAATACTTCTTACATGTTAGCAATGTTTTCCGACTTCTGAGCATATACATTACTCTCACTTATGCAAATCAAGAGAAGTAGTATATTCTAAATTTGTTCACTATAGGAACAATGGGTTTCTCATGTTTATTTGAAATAGCTTTGACAATTTAAAAAAATAAAAATCCTAGCATATCTGTTAATAAGCCACCTGTCTAAAAATGTAATCTATATGACCAAAACCACATTTTGGGCAAACATATATACATATTGAATGTGATACAAAAAATAGAATACAGCAGAGGAAGTAAGAAAGAAATGTGTGCAGAAATGTTTACTTTCCGTTTTTAAAAATAGTGTTACAAAAGGGGCAGAACTTAGTCCTGCACTAATGATGTTTCTGATCCCCTCAGGAACTCAAGTTCCCCCTGTCAATACATACAGCACAAAAAAAGACTAATGCAATTTTTTTTGTATTGTTTAGTTTTAATCCATGTAAACTTGTGTTGTATTCTTCAAACACTCTTTAAACATCTTGAAGTGGAAAGAAGCAGGAAAGAAGGGAAGAAAAAGAACCTTCAAAAAACAGGAATAATCCTAAGTTTGACAGGAAATCAAATCAAGAGTTAAATGTTAATTTTGGCATCAAATGCTTTGGTCACACAATACTGACTCTGTGATCCTGGATGCTCAGCTCTAGACACCCAGTTATGAAAGGTAGGTGTGTTGTAGTTTTCCATTTAAGTTCCAACAAACAGTTTGCCATCTCCCCAGACAAAGATGGGGGAGAGGGAGAAAGGTGGCTTTCTTTCTTTTTTTTTTTTTTTTCTTTTTTCAGTAATACGGATTAATCTGTAAGTCTGCAGGAGGAGGAGGAGGATGCTGGGAGGTGTCAGTTCACCCCTTTTGTTTACATGTTCTGCAACACAATTGCTGAAGCACCTTCCTCTGGCAGAGATTGTTCTTTTTCACCAGCATACAGAATCCTCCCTCGGCCCAGGACTCTTCCGTGGCTTCCAGAGGGTAGCAGCAAGAGAAGGAGGGGAGGTTGAAGGTTTGGAGAGCACGACGTGTACAATGGAGGAAGGTTTAATTGGTCAGACATGCAGATTTGGTTGAAGAGACCATTCAGGAGCAGGTAGCAAGTAAGAAATTTGGTCCATCAAAAGGAATTTCAGTCAACAGGATTTTTTTTTTTCAGGAAGAGATATTGTGTGGTCCAACAGTGAATGATTGGTATCCATTTATGAAAAGGAAAAAAAGATTAGAAAGAGAATAATTAGAATACAGTAATATTCACAGCAAAAGAATTTGCTCTCAATTTTTATGAATGAAAAGAATAAAACAATCAAACCATAGAAAAAGAAAACATTCTCAACAGAAATACAAATCCTGTAGAGTGAGTTGACTGTAAGGCATTGAAACAAGACCCTCTCTGCTTTTGTAAATTAACAGAAAAAAACCCCAAATCCCAAGCCCTCCTGGACTTTCCTTGTTACCCTAGACTGCTGAGAACATGTGCTGTGTGGTGTGACCCAGCATGGTGCATTGCAACTGCCTGAAGGCCTGCACATCCATGTGCTGCCCTTCCATGAGAGCTGCATTTGGAAGAATGGTGGTGACAGCACTGAGATGAAGCATTGTCACCCTCAGGAACTATGGTGTGTGTGGTTGAGGCTGCAGAAGATAAATCCATGAAGATGGATTTATCCAGCCATATTAAAGACCAAACTGGTATCTCAAATGTTTGCATTGCAGAAATCAACTGCAATACCTTATTAGCATCACACTTCTTAATTGGCCTATCTATACCTGTACTTGTATATCCTCTTCTGTACTTGCTTTAGACAATAACTCTTCCAGTGTTCAGACAGAAAAGGGCTCATCAGTAGTTTACTAATATCTGCAAAGTAACTTTACAATGAACAGGATATTTTTCGAAGTTTGGAAGCCTATATTCCAACAAGAAGTGCAGAGATCCACAGAAACAAGACTCACACTTGTAATTTTTTTTTTCTTTTTTAAGTCTTCTTTAACTCTTAGTAAATCCAGTGGAAATAAGCTAGACCCAAGAGTCACTGTTAGCTTTTACTATATCTGATGTCAGATATCTTCCCAGACTTTGTTCTGATAGTTGGATTGCACTTGTTGGGCTCTGTTTACAAGTAATTCACATGGTAACATTTTTAGAGAAGCACAGTGTTATCTAAGTGTCTCTGTAATTGTGACATTTAAAAGGAATTAATATTAGTGAATAATTAAGTCAATCATATGCAATAAGAAGGCTATCTTGGTTGCCACAGTGGATTTGGAGGAAATTCAAATCTCCACCCTAAATTGTATGTTCTGTATTTCAGAATCTTTTTTTTTTCTCACTGCTCTTTCACACAAATCAAACAATCCTGTGGGTGCTTTAAATAGTTTTTACTTACCAGCATTTTCACAGTTTAAAGTGGCGAGATAGATAAATGTAATTCTATTAATAGTACTCTAGGGTCCTCATATAAAATCTGTTGAAAGCAACAGCTTTTGAACAAATGCTAAGGAAGGAAAAGTAGGTTGTTGGCAAGGGGAAAAATTACTTTAGGAAAATTCAGGTAAGGTGGATGTGACACATCTTGCTAACACCTGCAAAGGTAAATTTCTCCTTTTCGTATGCCTGAAAAATTTAAAAAGTAATGTAGACTTTACTTAAGAAGAAAAGCAGGCCAACCCAATCCAATACATGTAAAAGAAGAAGCTGGCAGTGATAAAATGAATCTTTTCAGAGACTTTCACTCACCATCCTTGCATACTGTTCCAATGACACAGACACCAGTGTCTAGGTTATAGCCATTTGGACAGCTTGTACAGTTTCTGTCTCCTTGGCCACTGCAATCCAAACAGCTGGCATCGCACCTGAAACACAATGGCAAGAGTTGGTCTTCTGGCCTCACCAAATATAAGACTTCCTAGGAGACCTCTTCTGTATTGCAAAGGACTTGGTTTGCTCTTTCTAGAGGTAAAAGGTACTACAATATTACTACTACCGATTATGATAATAATTTACTACTTTGGCAACTCAGTCCTGTTTCTATCCATCAATTTCTATTCCAGAGCTTTTACTACACAGCTGCATTATTCTAGTGCATTGGAGCTATGAATAAATAATCAGCAAAAGTATCAAGCTGATGGTGCATCCATGTGCCAGAAAGGCATGAACTCAAGCTACAGGATAGAAATGACTGATGTGATGCCCAGTCCCTTCATCACCCATCTCACTCCATCGTCTTTTCATTACATACTGATTATCTTTTAATGTGGAATACACTGAAATACACGGTGATTCCCTTCATGCCCTGAACTTGGATCTGAGTCAATAATAAACGATTCCAAAGGGTAACAAACTATAATTGTTTAACAAAGTATGAAATAGAAAAAATGTTCCTTCCTTGCACAGCACTACTTTGTCCAAGATTTATCCAGCCATTTGTACACTTGAGTCAGGTAAGTTATTCTGGACAGTAGTTTAGAATATACCTGTGCTATGTTTATGAATATGTGGGGGAAAAACTGAAACGGTCTTTATAATAGTAATTAACTTGGAATGAAAAAATCTGTAGTTTGACTATTTTTGTTTGCTATTAAGAAATGAAGATCCTCTGTCAGATTTGTAAATTTTATGCTTCTAAGCAAATCTACTTACACGTTCACTACAGGCTGATTTAAAGTGAAGGTCAACACAAATACTAGAAAAAATACTGTTATACGACCTGTAGGAATATTAATATAATGACAATAATAATAACAACAACAACAACAAAAAGAATAATGTATTTTCCTTAATTTACTTAGCATTAAGTATTTTTTGTATGTTTTGAAGTCAATGATGTTTTATCTTCTAATAAGTACGACCATTTCCAACACAGTAACAGCTAATATACTGCCAAATACCAGATATATCAGCCAGAGATCATACCTTTTGCAGCTTTTGTATCCGCTTTCAGTGGAGTGATCAAGGTAATAACCACTACTGCAGGACTGCACACATCTTCCATCTTCCATAAAGTAACCCTGTGTGCAGTTTATGCAGGCATCTACTCCAGCACCTTAGTACAAAGATGAATTGTTAGAAGGTAGGTACATCGTTAAAAATAAACAATTATGTCATTTCAGTGTATCTTTTTCTGAAACAAATGACTGCAGTTCTAAAGCTCCCACAAAATCTACCAGTCATTATTCCATCCCCAGAAGAAAATGGAAGGCATTACTGGAAAGTATTAAGTTCTACTAAAATAAAAAACAAATTGGAAAAAAAAAGAAAAAAAGGAAGAATATATGAACTCTTTCAATTAAAAACCTAGATATCTATGCTAGCTGAAAGAAGTTTGCCATATTTAAAATGTAATTAAAAGCTACTAAGAGAATGAAGGATTCACATGTAAACAATCATGTTATACTGTAACTGTGATATAGTGGAATAAAATCAGAGATAAAATCATACAGGACTGAAAATTATGCAGACAAATGACAGTGGGGTACCTGCACACGTTGCACAGGAACGGTGGCATGGTTCACATTCTCTGCCATTATGGTATTTTCCTTCTTCACAGCGGATAGCACATCTGGTGCCATGCAAACTATTGTAAAAAGGAAAAAAAAGCACAGGACAGATAATGGCAACAGAGGACAACAAGATCGTACACAATACAGTAATTCTCTTTTAATCAAAGAACAACCCATATATTATGTATGATTCATCAGTTTCCTTCGCTGGTCACACTCCATAAATTTAGACACACCAACCACTTAAAGAGGGAATGCAAAGCAGTTTTGCCCATGGTGAAGTAAAGAAGCTGTTTACAAACTCTTTGTAAATGCTACCAAGTAATAGGGGACAGATAAAAAATTAACAATGACAAGCAGCACTAAAAATTCAGGCATATAAAATGCAATTATTCAAGAGGAATTTGGCACAGGGTCAGCATTAAAAAAAATGCTAAAAGACTTGTTAACTGAATGCCAGTTCTATGTGGCTTGTGAGATTTGCCGAGATTACAGATGGAGGTATTCTGCCTGCAGGCACTTTTGAGAGAGCATAAAAATGTAAGTAACAGATGAAAAGAAACAGCATAAAGAGTCACATTTTCATGTATTTCTTAACATAGCTGTTTATTGCTTTCATGTTATATGGTGCCTATAGCAGTTTCTTGGGGTTTGGGTTTTGTTTTGTTTGTTTGAAATTATTTTTCGAAACTAGGACTTCTCTGCCACGTTTACTATCTTCTGTAACCTCAGGATTCATCCTATTTAACACTTTCTCTAAAAATGCTCATCAGCTCTGGGGTTTCCTACTCTGAGTGCTAATCATGTTTTTACAGATTGAATCGAGCAACAGCCAGGTAAGTTCAGTACCACTGAAAATTTTCAAGAGTGTATTTAGTCCCAGTTTAGAAAATAAACTAGCAATTCAACAAAACTTCACAACCCTTGCTTTTCTCTTGTTTTTCCTCAAGACACACCTCAAAGAGCTTTACAATGGACATAGTGTTATCATGTTTTTACAGATGGGAAAAAAATTTGCCCAAGTTTATTTAATGGGCCAGTAATGGAGTAGATCTGGAATCCAGGCCTCTCAAGACCCACTCAAGGAAGGCCGTGCTCACTGATACCTCTGCCAAGAAAATGCAGAAAGTATGGAACAACTATGGAATATGAAATGCATGTCCTGAAAGGCACCATTTATCTGCTGTACCCACACATTTAAAAAAATGTTACCAAAGTTGACTGCCATTTGCTAAAATTGCCCAATAAAACATGAAGGTTAGGTTTTAAAAATTTTTTTAATACTTCCATTTCAATAACGGAATCCAGCTATTGATGTTCTAGAAGCAAATGTTCAGCTTTTACTAAGAGATGAAAATCCACTTTAATGGCACATGAAACCTCAGTGTTAAAACATTAACACAGTACTTGTATTCAAAAGAATACCTACAGATACTGAATACCAACTTCATATTTTTTGTGGCACTAAGCCAGCATATAGTCTGTCATGAATATTTTAAGATTTTTGACCCTTGCTACTTGTATCAAAAGGTCATTCTTTATAAAGGAGCTTGGAATGTGTACTGCTGCTTTGTATGTTTTACCTATCGTTTTTAAGAATAATTAATTCCCCTCTGAAGGAAAAAATCTCCCCTGCCATTTAAAATATACGATCACTGTACTGTAATAGAATTGAGCCTCAGGTACTTGAGGTAAGTGAATGACTGGATACATGAAGAAATGAAAGACAAGAAAATAATTTCTAACTACCACATGAATGAATCAGAAAGATTAATATGATACATTAACTCTACTTCTAAAATTATCCTGACATACTGTAGGTCAAAAATTGAAGAAGCCAGCTTTCCACATGAATGTGGCTGTTACCTGAAATGAAAGGCCTTCTAAAAATCTGTTGTCAGCCAAATTGGCACACAGGATCACTACTACAGACTAAACAGCATTAGAACAGATAAAACGAGAGCCATGCAAGGTTAAATAGCTATCTGATGTTCTTCACTGTGTATCTACAGCCTTGTCTACCTCTTCAGGTACTATGTTTAGAGACATGCATATTTTCCTTACCTTAGGCCATGTCTGCATTCTGTGCAGGTTTGGAATTCAACACAGGTCTTGCAGTTTTCACTACATTTTCGACAAACAATCTTATCTACAAGAGAAAAAAAGAAAACAGCCCACAAAACCTTGGTCAGTTTTGTTTGATAAAATTGTATGAATATATTTTTGCATGACTTACTACTTTCTAGTTCGACATCAACATCAAGCTAGACTAAAACAGTGTAATTCTGCCTATCATTAGCTTTTTCCATCAAATGGTTTACAATATTGCCATACATTCGAAGTTATAGTTGCACCCTAAGAAAAATATGTCTTTAGGCCATTAAAATTTTTCATAAACACTTAAAGTTTGCATTCACTATTTATAATATGGATTTAAGTCACCTTCTCATATAGCAGTGATATGCACTAATGATTGCCATGTGGATTGCATTCTGGAGACTGTCCTGCAATCTTACCCCTTCCATGCAAGCAGTCTGTCCTGCCTTCCTGATTTGATGCTAAAAGACATACCTGCATAAAGAGATCTGATTTAACATAGTAAATACATAAATTATTTAACAACTGTCTTTTTATCTCTAGAGATCCCTTCTTTAAGAAATGTCTCTCTCTCTTTAGCCCTGCTGTCTTTTGACATGCAGTGACACATACCCTTGTGAGAAGAAATTTTTATTTCCCCATTTAATTCTAAATTTTCCTTTATCCATCTTAATTTGTATGGAAAAGAGTTCTCTTTACAGTAGTTCTCACAGACTGAAAATGGAAAAATTAAGGTAGGACCTTTTTTTACCAATCCTGAAAAACAGACACAGTTTCATGCTGGAGAAAGCAGGAGACTAGGTACCTAGATAAACAAAGCTCCTGAGAACATATTTCTCTTCTAGGCAGTGTCAAAAGATAACGAAAGTCACTGCAGTTTTAAGCACGTTTGAATATAAGTCTAAGTATTTTTATTCTTAGTGAGAAATCAAACATGGACAATCTACTTGGCAATCACAGGAGGAAGCTGAATGCAGGTACCTATCATGGCTGAGGATTAGTGCTCTTGGGAAGTCACACCACTCTGGAGATGCTTAGGTCTGTCAGAACCATGATTTGCAACCATGTTACATCTGAAGAGCCTGTTTTTCCCAGAGCTCTGGTTCATTTGCCATGGCCAGTGTCTCAGCTCCCACTTCTAGTGCTGTATAATCTGGCTGAATGGGGAATCATGGTCAGAATGGGTGCTGTCTGTCCCTTTCCCAAGTAGTGATAGCCTTTTCTGTCCTTCAGCTGATTTGCTCTTGAACTACACTGGTTCTGCTACTGTTACTGCCAGGTACCTCCAGCTGAAAAGACAGCCTACAATAAGTACAGTTTTTAAAATAAAGGAAGATTATTCAGGACATTCTTGATCACACTTGGCAACAATTTAATAAGAGGAATAGGAAAAGAGAGCAAAATACACTTTTCCAGCTCATGAGCATTACAGCAACCTCCCCAGATCACATTCTGAAGCCCACAGTACAAAACCAACAAGAAATACTAACTCTTATCCAGGTAAAACCCATCAGGGCAGTTGGTAATACAGCTATTGGTTACTTCGTTCAGGTAGTAGCCAGATTTACAGGTCATGCACTGGTCATTATGGCCTCCAACACAGGTTTCACAATTGGGTGAGCATTTTTTACATCGTTTCTTGTCTGCATTGTAGTGACCAGGTGGGCAGGTCGAAACACAGATCCTGCAGACAGCAGGGAAGAGAAGGCAGAAATGTTAATGAAATAACCTGCCACCACATTCCTGGACCGTGACTGCAAAGCAGAAATATTTCTCAGCATTGCCACTTTTCTAATGATCATGTGTTTATTAAGATATAACCCTTCAAAGCACTGCATTTATGCCCCTACATGCCTCTTGCATTTATGTCCCTACACATGCTATCTCACTAGCAAATGTCTTGTCAGACAGTCTACAGTATAATTTTTCAGTAAAATCTTCCTATCTTGTTCACTTAATCACATCCACTGTAGTAACTGTCAAAGTGTATACATACATATATATATATATATATATATATATATATATATATATATACACAGAAAGCTTCTTATGAAAAAAGAAAAAAAAGAAGAGGTAGGGAATAATCAGAGAAGGGCTTTTCAAAGCTGTATTTTAGATTCTGATTAGCTAGGGCTTGGGTTCTTTTTTAACTCCAAAGAAAATTTTTCAAAATCAGGGGAAAATGAATTATCTATTACTGCAATGAAGAGAAAAGGAAAAAAAGTTAAGATATATATACTAAGAAATCAATGAAGTAAAGTTTTTTTCTCTTTCTCATACCTTGTGTTGTTTTTAGATTTGTAGTAATAGTGCAGACAGTCAGTACAATGATCTGGTCCAGGCCCATCACACCCTACTTTACTGCATTCTGCATTGCAGGGACCTGTAATAAAAACAGAATACAGAGAGGGAAAGGGATTAAAACTTCTTATTTAAAGGACACCTTAAAACACACTATTTTATTGCAGAATGAAATTACCCTGTTTCCCAGTGTTGAATACGGTTTGCTACCTGCACTGTGAGCTCAAGACTGAGCTCTGGGTAGTAGAAGCTCCAGGCAAGAGGCTGTGCAGACCTTTTGCATAAAAAACAACACAGGGACCTATGTCACCAGTCAGGTGACTGGACACGTAGAGATACAGCAAGAGCCAAAGACGCTGAGATTTTCATGAGCTTAAACTGTAAGGGTATAAAAGCCCAAGGTTTCCCTTGTTCAGGGTCCCTCCTCAGAGGCACTCAGCTCAAGCTGTTATTTTTTTCTTTTAGTTAAGCACCAAGATTAAGTTATTAAGACTAAGGACTGGGAAGTCTGAAACTCTGCTATAGGAAAACTAGGGTAGAGCTAGTGAGGAAACCTGGTCTGATTATGTGAGTGTGGGGCGTGTAGCTAAGAAGGGGCCTTGGTCCTAGCTCAGGTGTCGAGAATATGACTGCCAGAGTGGCTCCTTGATGGTTGGACTGGGAGGCTTCCTGAATACCTGCTTTATTTTAATTTAAAAATTCGGGGAAAAAGGCAAGCTTTTTAAACATGTATGGCATCCTCTTTTTATATGGAAATGTGCAAAGACTTCTGTAATTCATGATTAGGAATGATTAACAAAATAACTTATTAAAAGAAGGACAATATAAATGATGAATATCATAATCAGGTGGCTACACTGGTTCCTGAGTGGGTATCAACTGGTCTGAGTGGCTACCATGACCCAATGAACCAGACACCAGGGTCCCGATGCTCTCTGCTGCTACATGCTACAAAAACCTCAGTTAGTGTTCGCTGATTCCCAAGTCTTTCATCTGACCTGCACTCGTGTTAGGCTTGATAATAATGCTTTTGGATCTGTTCCAACTTAAGATATTCTATGATTTTGCTCTTACAATTTTCAAATAGATCCTTCCTGCTATGGGAGGAGAGAAGCATCAAGTCTTGCCCTTATGCAAATGAACAATGACTGTGGGTGAAGTTACAACTTGCAGGATCACTGCTCTCTCCTGAATGAAATGTGTTGAGTTTGCTACATATAAAAACTTAAGAAGATATTGACCTTTCCAGCAGAGATAGTAGTGTTTCATTACCTACCAAAACAAGGAGCTCGGCAGCTGTCCATCTAAAATAGAGACTGTGCGACTGACATGCTATGAAAGGAGAATGGAATAACAGAAAATACTAAATTGAACTTTGTCTTCCTTTTCGCTGGCCAGAGATAGACTTCAGATTGATCACATGGTATTGCTAATGGTGGATTACATGTAAGAAACTGCCAACTTGACTTATTTTGACTTATTTTTACTAAAGTCTAATGACAAGGCTGAAAAACTTCTATAGGGATCAGTGAGAAACAACACAGATGTAGAAGATAATGTTCTTCTCATATATACATATGCGTTAGTATATATAGCTTTATATATTTATATGTGAAACAGTGCATTCTTCATAGCACGTTCAGTGTACCTTAAAAATATATAACTCTATGCACGCAAACTCTAACACCTAACTTTCAGTTATGAAACAAGTCCTTCTCATCTTCGGTGAAGAATCCAATTCACTGAACATTTTGCATATGCAGATTCTGAGGTCATCCTTAAAGCCAATAGCGGTTCACGAAATGCACAAAGAGAGTAAATGAATGTACACACCTGAATAGTCATCTGTTGTATAATCTTCTGTAGGGTCTTCAGCTGGACTAGAGCGTACTCTTTCCACTTTGGAAAAATCATTTCTTGGTGAGTAAGGCTGGATGGATGTTCCATAGAGTACTAAGGACCATTCTTTCAATTTGCCTGGAATTAAGCATTATAAAACTGTTTTCAGAACTACTCTTCTCCGTGTCTTACAAAAATATATCACTTTTAAGCAAGTTGTTATGAGTAGATATGGAAGACATTGCTTGTCAATTAAGTGCAATAGCTGTTTTACTGTAAGCTGAGAAAGCATATTTTCTTCAATCAGATCTTTACATTGTATTTTCATTGCACTCCAATCTCTTGTAGGTTTAGCAAAGGTTTGCACCATGGGCCGAACAATATAAACAATAAACAAAACATCTGGGCATACAGTTATTTGGAATATGTATATGGTACTCCATTAGGTGGTTTTGCTCTGGATATCACCTCCGCCTCAGAACACTATTAATTGTTCAGTAATTATTAATTGAGACCTTTCAGCTAAGTAGCTCCATTCAGAATTCAGACTTAAGAAAGGGACTACATAAGAGTACATTTCATTGACTTTTAGGACACAACTTGAACGAGAAACACCTCTTAAAATCTCCATGGAAGAATATCAGAATCCTCCTCAAACCAGCATAATTTCTGATTTATTTGTACCAGTTATTTGGCAGATATATCACTGTACTGTCTGCAATCATCACTAGTATTTTATCCTCTTAATATTTCAGTGAAGACAGAAAAAATTGTCCAGCCACCTGAAGCATTATCTGACTTCCTGGTAAGTTTTTTTGGGGAAGAATAAAATGAATAAGGTGTATCGAGTCATCAGATCGTGTTGTCAGAATATAAAGAGTGAACTTTGAGCCCCCACCTTTCTCTCTATGCTACCAGGTGAATAAATTTGGAGAAAGAGCAAAAGCACTCAGGCCTTAAATAATGCCTAAAATAAGGACATATAAAAACCACATCCCTGCTTGAAAAGGTGCAACCTAAGTTTGGTGTCAGGCCATCATCTTGGTTATGTTAATCTGTGCTGGAATAGCTAGTTGTAAATGCCAAATTTTCATTAGAACAAAGAGAAATCAGAGAAGCAGGGAGAATTTGAATGATCCTGTTTTGGAGGCTGTTCTGTGCCTAAAACTCTTCACAAGGAGAACTATTATTTAATGAGAAATGTAATCCAGGTATGACGCTTCTCTAGAAAATAATATAGTATACTTCATGTAAAATTAAATTCAAGCAATCTTCCTCTTCTTTCAGTTTAATGATACTCAATAACTTGAAATATTGTTCACTTGGACTTTTTCAATCAGTACAATGAAATTAATTTGACTTTTACAAGTGTTTTTCTGTATTTTCCCCAATGTCATCTGGTAGCCTCCACATGACAAAGGTAAGTATCTCTCTGCTTGTACATGCATACTTCTAGCAGTAAGCAACAAGAGGCAAACACAGGACTGAAAGATCATAAACAAATTTTTTTAAATAGTAGGGCTGAAGATAGGAATCTCTGTTATATCTATGTAGCTTGCCAATCCAATTTAATCTTTAAAAGATAAAAATTTGTACACTTCATATGAAACCTTCTCTGCTCTATACTCAGTTTTTGAGTAGAAACTACAAGCCAGAGACTATATCATGTGGCAGCTGTGTCACATAGCAGCTTTCAAATTTGCACATCTGAATTATTACTTCCTTTAAAGGGACATTTGATATTGATTTTAAAAATTAACTGCTGATGAATCTACCACACCTGCTGCCAAACTACTGGCTAATTACCTTGGCTGTAAAACTGGACATATCTTGTTTTCAATTTGTCTTTTCCTACCCACAGACATGTAACTCTTAAAGACCCATTGGATTAAAAAGACCCAAATAATGTATTTTCTTCCTCTAAAGACATGCGGGAATCAAGTTACATCTCTATGTTCCTTAGACTGATCCAACTGTGTCTTTAATGGCACTTTTGTTTTTAAAAAGAAGTCACACAGGGAGATATTTTTTAACCAGATATGCAGTCATCTCTACAGCCCTTTCAAAAGTACCTGCCTTTTTTTGTGTTTTAAACCACGTCTACAGCATAGAAACCATAATACATTGGGTACAATTTTTAAAAAATGTGTTTTGCTAAGTTATTCACATCTTTTTATCCTAGTTTATTATGAGCCAAAACTCACTGAACTTCCCAAATTTTTCTATTTCTCCCAGAACACTGGTAAGGGTATTTTCAAGAACCTACTACAGATAACTACAGGTAAAGATGCTCCTAAGGCATAGCATATTGTATTTGGATTTTACACAAACAGAAGATCTTGTACTAACATCACTGCAGGAAGGATTGTTACACTGAATACATATATAATGCAAAAGGGCAGTAAGGGGAAAAATACAGGGTCTCTCAGGAGATTAGCTGCCTCTTAAGAATGGTTCAGTAAATAAGGAAGCGAAAAATTAATGTGACTTGCCAGCAAATAAATGAAGATTCCCTCAAGTCGGGTTTAATTTGCACAATGGAAATATTTCAGTAACTAAGTATATGTACATACACACACACACACCTTTATAATGAATTAAAACAATATGCACATTTAAGCCAAAATCTTTCTTTCCCCATTTTTGGTTGATTCCATCATTTAGTTTGGCTAGAATAATCCTTTCCCTGCTTGCATTTAGGATCTGCAACAAAGATCCTACGTTGTATCTACAGAAGAAAGAGTATATCACAGTGTTTCAGAGCAAACATATATCTACCACCATAAATTCTACCGAATTAAATGTAGAAATCACATGCACTACTTTTATGAACTGCACTCTTAATTTCTTTTCAGGTAACAGATGTGGCATTACCTTGCCAATGCAGGGATATGACGACACATTGGGTCTTTCTTTTTAATTTGGTTACAGAAAAATAGCAACTCAATCATAAGACCTTTCAAGAGCTGAGCAAACACATGCACAGAACACAAACAGGAAACAGGCATGATGATGATATCAGTGTGATAAACTGCAGGCTATGGTGATAAACTGGAGAGGCACCATGAACTGGAGAGGCACCAGGCATAAATTATGTTTAAGCACCTTTTGTTAACTTCATGTTCTCTTCAGTGCAGAGACTAATCCCGATATGCCCAAACAGCTGAATTTATCCACCACTAACATATGGCAGGTACTTCCAAATCTTTTTGAACAGAAGAGTTACTGGACAGCTTTCATCAGAGGGCAATCACTGCTCTAGAAAGATGGGGGATACATTACTACACAGTATACAATGAACCAGGATCCAAATTCACAACCACACTGCATCCTGTGAAAACCAAATGCATATAAAAATCAAACTAGTCTCAAGCAGTGTTTCACATTGTGGTTAAAACAAAGTAGAGGATAAGCTCTCCAGCAGGGTTCTTTCAGTAGATCAGCTTCCTCCACACCCCTTAGTTTTGCAGACCTATTTTCTCCCAATTCCCTAGCCTTACTTTTCTTCCAGAGTTGCATCTTTAGGCCTTAGTTCTGATGGAGGAAAGGAAATCAGTTCCATTAGATTAGCTACTGTAGCACTGGGAGAGTATATATAATGTATTGAAATCAATAAACCTATACAACTATATATGTAGTTGTAGTGTGCAGAAATGTGCAGGAACTGGCCTTGAAGTGTAAAGCTGGAAATGTAGCAGGCCACTTTGAAACCACCCTGTTGACGTAAAAGGTCTGTACAATATAGCTGGAGAATTGCCCAGATTAAAAGTTTGCAAAATAGTTCCGTGCTACCTCTTTTTTAGTGCAAGGTGTGTGCCAGAGAAAAGAAGAGAGAAATAGCTGAAATGTGCTGCTCAGTGGTTGTCCTTCACTCCTGTTGGATGAACTAATGGGTTCTAGTACATGCAAAGGTGAAGAGCTACCCTAACTTGTCCTTCACACCAGAGATAATCCTGGATGTGTCAGGAATAACAAGTGTTAAACAGAATTAAAAATACTTGATTTTTGTCTCTTTTCACTAATCTGAATAAAATTAAATTACTTATTTCATGCTCAGTATCTCCCATCTATCAAATTATAAAGCACTGAAAATTAAAAAAAAACCCCAAACACAAAAACTCCTCTTGAATCCATGACCAGTTTTGCTTATACTCTAAGGCTGCTTTTCCAAACACATTTAGTGAGTACCCCTTTTTAGTGCTGGAAATTTTGCCTTTCATTTAGTGGTGCATTTAATATCGTTTGGTTAAGAACCTTCCATGACTGGATAGCTATGGTGAGAAGCCATCAGTGGTGATAAAGGGAAATTTAAAATACCAGCAGTGTTGGTGTTTCCTTTCAGAGCTCTAGGGGAAGATAATAAAGATTTTCAAAATGCTGCACTTAAAGTTAGCCACATGGCAATACAGCTACCATTTAAATTAACAGTGGCCATGGTGTAAAAAGTTACTAGAGCCTAGAAGATATTTTCTGCTCAGAAATTTTGAAAATCGTATTTTTTCTTGGTCTTTATTAGGGACTTATCAACCACATGTTACATGTTGTGTAAAAGCTTTTCAAATTTTGACTTTTGATTCCTCGCTTACTAAAATCAGGTTATGTAGACTAGTGAGTCAGGCAATAAGGCAATAGATTTGATGGGCTGGACAAAGAACCTTTTTCTAAAAGTTGAGACTGGCTATCAGAACATGACACAACTAAAGCAGAGTAGAACTAAAGAACTAAAATTCTCATTCAATTCTATCAACAGTGATTGAGTGAGGCAGATCAATATGTTAAATTTTTCTGAGAGAAAATAATCTAAAAAACTACATAAATAAGTTCAGAATAAAAGTGAACTATGTATCCTAAAAGGTAAAAAACAGTAAAAATAAAGGGTGCATTGATAAATTAAACTTAGAATAATGTTCTTTCCAGCTTCACACTAAAACCAGTGAGATGTTCTAGCTGTAAATAAAAGGTGGAAAACAGCAAGAACTTTTCAGAATTCACACAGCCCAAATAAATGTTAGAGTCCTACCTGGAGTCTTGAAATTTCTCAGCTGAGATGGAGTGTCACAGATTTCCAAGATCCAATCACCTGCTGCTTTTTCACTCCAAGAGTGAGTAGTCATAAACTCCCAGTTTTTGAATCCTTCCATGGAATGATCAAATAGCCTAAAATAAATGATGACATTATTTCAAGGCAAACTTTTATTTCCTGGGGAGCTATGTCTCCAAGTGTGCAAACTCTTGAATAATATACTAATCAGCCAGTTCATTCATCTGTACTTTCACATAACATTATTCATGACGGTTTTCTCACTTGTATTTCAAGCACATTCAACAGTTCTTTGTTGCTTGATGGAAGAGAGTCTTTACATACCATCATCTTTTTATAATGAAAAAGAAAATGACAAGCAAATTCATTGCAAAAATACCATAACTGCTAATACTATATAATAGGATTTGTGAGTCTTGGAAAAACTGCATACAATACAAAATTCCATTGCTTCAACAGCATGATGTAACTACAAATAACTTGTAAGTTGGAAAATTTCAGTAACATTTATTTTTGGCATCAGATTGGATAAGTTAAAAGGGGTTTAAACTGAATAAAAACTGTTAAGTTTGAAATAATTGTGCTTCAATACATCATTTCTTGTGAGGAAGTCACTGAGACACTGACCTCAATCTTCGAACAACCAAGGTATCACCCTCTTCAAACACTTCACAGAATTCAGCTTGGGTAAAACTGAGAGAATAACGGCATCTGATGGTTTCATCTAACCAATACCATTACCATAATTCAATCACTTAGGGGGTAAAGACATTAGAACTTAGGTCTGGATTATGATAATTTCTAGTATAGGGGGACTCATTTCAGATACTGCAATGTGATTGTGATCCCCTGTGAAAAGGGGAAGGAGGACCCTTCCTGGCAGATTAGACACAAGAGAAATTGCATTTTTATTTAGTGTTCACAGGGCGTTGCTTGGTACCCCAAAACTATTGATGAGAAGAGCACTCGAAGTAGGACTGTTCCCTCCAATCAAATCACATGCTCAACTTAAAAAAAATACATATATAACTATACATTCACATTCATGTAATATTATATATTTGTGTATATATATACATAGAGATATGTATGCATGTCAATTTATACATGCATGTATATACATATGTATGTGTGTGTAATATTTATCACTATTTTAATTTGATCTTTATGTATGAAAATTCCACTGGTAATAGCTGTGACTTAATATTTTCAAAAGACAAGGATGTCAACAGTAGAAAATCCAATAGATTGAAAATGCTTTTCCATAAAACAGAGAAAAACCTAGCATTAGACAACACAAATGTTATGCTTGAATTCCTGTGAATCTGCTCTTTTCTAAGTTAATTTCAAGCTTTATTCTAGAAAGGTTGTGAAGTTCAGCGAACAGGAAAACAGGATACTTGTGTAGATACATTCCTGTTAAAAACTGCCACACTGGATACAAATATAATGCCATAGTTCTTGCTGGAAGCTTTGGTCAGTCAGAGGCATGGGGTCGGGTACTCTGTGTCCTACACCTCTTGCAATAGAAACTGCTTGGACCTACATGACTAGTGCACTTTAGAGGGCTCAGCCAAAACCTAATTTTCATGCTCTCATTTCAAACATAAAATCAAGAATCATAGAGTATCTCGAGTTGGGAAGGATCATCAAAATCCAACGCCTAGCACTATGCAGGACAGCCCCAAGAATTACACCATGTCTCTGAGAGGGCTGTCAAACAATTCCTGACTCTTTCAGGCTTGGTCCTGTGACTGCTTCCCTGGGGAGCCTGTTCCAGTGCACAACCACCCTCTGCTCCTGGTGTCCAGCCTAAACCTTGCCTCACACAACCTCAGGCCATTCCCTCAGATACTGTCACTGGTCACCAGAGAGGAGATTGGTGCCTGCCCCTCAGCTTTCCCTCATAAGGAGATGTAGACTGTGATGAGGTCTCCCCTTAGTGTACCCCAGGCTGAGTATGACATGTGACCCCAGCTGCTCCATGTACAGCTTTCTCTTCAGACCCTTCACCATCTTTGCATCCCCCTTTGGACACTCTCTAATAGCTTTATAACCTTCTAATATTCTGGCCCCCAAAACTGCCCCCAGCACTGTAGTTGAGGCTGCCCCAGTGCAGAGCAGAGTGGGACAATCCCCTCCCTTGCCCAGCTGGTGATGCTGTCCCTGATGCCCCCCAGGACACGCTTGGCCCTCCTGGCTGCCAGGGCACTGCTGGCTCATGTTCAACTTGCCATTCAGTTTGGGCTACCCTTCCCCATTTTAAATGAATGCCTATAACAGTAATCTAATTTATTAGCACTTATAAAATGAAATTAAAATATACATTGGAATTAATTTTCACTGATAATTGTGTGAGATTTTTGATAGAGTTCTGTGCTTCCGTGTGTGTGCCTGTAAGTGTACATGTAGACATATTTTGGCAGCAGAATGGGCCTGTTTCATGCCACTGTTAAATCAGTTGCAGGAATACAGCAAACCTCACAAAGGTATGGCATATACCCTTTCCTGAAATGGTAGAAATTATTACACAGTCATTATCAAGAATTTGCATGCAAGTATGTTCAATTTAAATTATGTAGATTATTTCCAGCTGTTATTCAAATTGCCATACTGTTGTTTTCTAATAGCTAATGTATTGCTTTCTAAACATGCTGTCAAAGCAACAAGGCACCAGTATTTATCTTCACCATTGTAGCAACTAAATTATATAGTATTATACAAGTACTGTGCAATTATAAGTTCTGCATTCACTGAGCTCCTATTCATATATATTAGAAACATTAATTTCTCTTTATTTTTACTGTAATTAATCTGATATTTTCCATAGTGCTTTTTGTATAACTACGTGTGTCTTGTTTTGAAATTTTGAATTGTTGTTGGATTTCCATTTTACTAATTATTTTAAGTAATTTTGGATGGAAGAGAAAAAAATCCCACATATTGTGTTTTTAAAAACTCTTATCTAAAATATGCTGTGACTGAAACTACAAGCTTCCATCCATGGAAATGGGGAAAGTCTGGTAATACTATTTCTAAGAAAATTGGCTATTTTTTTTAAAGAATACTTCTTTGGGAAAGATTTGAATTTTAAAAAATAAGGTCTAAACTGGAATCTTTGAATGTATGAACTGTGTTACCACAAAAGATTCTACAAATAAGTCAAGAAGTTACAGACAGGTCAAAAGAATAGTGAAAAATAAAGTAGAAACTGATCCTGAGTCTGTATGTATTTTGGACATACAAAATGGTCTAAGTACTTTTGCTTTGCTTTCTTTATGCACTAAACTCTCAAATCAAAGAACCCATGAGACATTACAGGGATTTCACTTTAAGTGGTGTTAAATAAATGAATGAAATGATCAAATGTTGAGCTGTACATTCCTTATTCAGTAAGAAATATCATAGGATCTTGTAATCAGCATGCAGCCAATCCAGAATTTAATTTTGTAATTTTTCAGAATTCCTATCAAAGACACACTTATGACACAGATTATCTTGGATTAATAAAATTTAGGACATGGTCTGATGAATTGCTAATTGACTATTACAGATTATTATAGACTAAAATACTTAAACAAGGTTACTGGAATAATCTGATAGCTTTTCATGACTGTGATCATACACATCTGTACTCATGAATGTAACACGCTTTCAAAGACCAAGGTAGTTAGCAACATCTGAATTTTCAAAACTTATTAGCTAACATAACCAAAAATAACACCAGTTATGTTACTCAGTTACTCAGGGGACATTTCTTAGAAAACAGAACACTCAGCATGGAGTGGATGTGACTGCATGATTGACTATACAATTATAAGATGCTGCTTACAATGCTTACAATGAATAGCATTACATTAACAAAAAATTGCTCTTCTCTTTCTGAGTTTTGTGCCATACTCATCACATACCATATGTAAGTCAAGATAAGAATACATGTTACACAGCATAGAATAAAATGCTTATTTTGCTTAAAACAAACTCAGGAGTTTTGGTCTCTTCCACTGCCACCACTTCAGCCTAAAAACTGCATAACTTTTTTCCTCAAGAACATAATTTAATGCAGAAATATTAATCTGTATTCAAAATTTTGCCAGAGGAAGGCAATTAGCCACTTTCTAATAGCATTAAAAAACACCCAGCAAAGAAGTGTGTCAGCTTTTCAGCAAAGAATTTTTAAATTCCTAAATGCTTGGAAGCATTTGTTTCAATTTTGAATTTCATGTGAGAAAAGGCAGTGAAGGACTTGTTTAGCAACACCAGCATCACCGTCATGAACAATAAGAAACAAACACACAAAAGGAGCTTTTTTTAGTTATCAAGATTGTTTCAGCTCAGAGGATGCAGCTGCACCTGACTGACAGTAATGGTTGTATTCTGAACTCAATGCATTAAGAGCCTGGAAACCCTGCCTTAGCTAGTGGCTGTGGATGTAGTGGAGTAGCTGGCAAGAGATAGGAATTTTTTTCTCCTACTGCAGCAGTCTTTGTTATGATGTGTTCCAGAACACAAGTTGGCAGCCTCATGTGCAAGTAGTCCTTGCCCAGATGTCTGCATGGCCACAAGACTTCAAGTGTGCTTACAGTTTGAAGAGACTACGTAGTGCCTTCCCAAGCTGTGTATCTGAAAGTGCGCTGGTCAACTATTCTCCTTAAAGCAGCTCTTCTCCACAGAGTCCAATCATCAGCTCCCTGTGAGATGTAGCCCCTGAGAAGCTGCAGACAGCTCAAACTGACTTAACCAAAGCTTCAGCCAGACCCTACTGCCTATCTGCACTGAAGTACTCAGGGAAAAAAAGAAATGCTCAGTAAACATACTAGGTGTTTCAGAAGCTTTCCACCTACATGTGGAAGATCACTTAAAATTTCTGGATGTGGAGCTAAAGAAAACATATTTAAAGTATCTGCATATGCACCATGTTGATTTTTTTCATTTCCATGTTACATCTGGTTATCATAATTAGTTTCATGAAACAATGGATATCTCTGAACTATCAAGATGAAGTTGTTTGGAGTAACATGAACAGTAGTGTACAATTCCTGCCAGCCTGAAATAGTGGCTAATATGGCAATCACCATCTTTAAAAGTGGAGAGCTTGTCCACACAAGGAACGACACACATCCACGTTACTTGTTGACGCGTCAGGCTGAGGAGCTCCACATACTCCACTAGTCAGCCAGCTGCTCGGTAGTGAGATATCTATTCATCAACCCCCCAAAGAAAAAAAAAATTAAAAATATATAGGCAATATGAATGAAACAAAACATAGCAAGTATGAGTTGGGAGAAATAGTTTTCCAAGGATTGTATTACCCTGTAGACACAGTACAAGCATAGGATTATTGTTAGCTCATTGTGGATTTAGATTATTACCACCTCAGACACCTTTTCAATGAGACTCAGCATGAAGATTAGCCCTTATATTTCATCACATTAGGGTACATAAAATGTTAGTTTTGTTTAATACTGGAGTATAACATGTAAGCTGCAAAAAAGATGCATGCCTATAAAGAAAATTTTGCTCTACTTCAGATCAGCAAGGCATTTTATGAAGCAAACAATTGAGTACGATTAGATATAAATAACTTGGTTTTCGTCTAAGAGTTCTGCAGAGGAGGATATTATTAAAATTTACTGATTGTCTAAGGTTTCATGGTAGGAAAAAGATGGTCATGAAAATACATTCTTTTGTTACTGAAGAGAAGCATTATTAATACCAGGGCCATATAAGCTTATGAAGCTCGTGGCCTGGAAAGTTGCCACCATGTGGCTGAAATATTTCAGTTACGCAGTTAAAATGGCAACAGCTGCATTAAATTTAAAGGGCAAGAATTAAATAAGCCATGACTTCAGTGGGAGAGACAAATGAGCCCTAAGTTTGCTTCTCCTACTCCCTTTGTATCTAGCTTCTCCTCCATAGCCTGCCTGTACTGAATGTTTGTTAGAACTGACCTTGGTATGTCTCAAAAAGCACTCAGAAACCCACACTGCCAAATCCACTGGCCAATTGTTTTTGAAAAGGGGATAATGTTCCCCTTTGGACTTAACTCTAGCCTCATCCTCACACCAGCCAATACTCTTCCAGCCTGTATTTTCCTGTGCTGCAGTGCATCCAATGGAATCATGTTTAGCACTTTCCAAACAACAAAGCAGATGTTCCCTGTAATACAGATTTTGAAGAATGCACATAAGGCTTAAACCAGTGACAGTGTTATCCACCAAATGCCTGCAAAGGAATTCACATCGTCTCTGACTAAAAAGTTTTCTAACTGAAGTCATTTTAGGGGATGCCAACATTAAGGATAAAATATGCAGAAAAAAGGCCAAATATTGCCTTGAGGGACCTACTTGTCAATGCACCAGAAATTACATACAATGACTTTTCTTCCAGAATTGGTGGAAAAATGCACATGTAAAATATACCTTTTGCACTTAAAAACATTTTACCAAGCAAACTGCTTCAAATTAAACCCAGATGAGTAACTGTAAAGCAGTGCGGTTTTCCCTGGTTTCAGTAAAAACAGCTGGTATTGCTGCTATTAATCCTGTACATGTGCATTAAAAAGTCTTGTATGTCTGATAAAAACATCTCAGTCAGGTAGTAGCAATGTACAACAGTCCCTCTGGGCCCTTTGCCTATAGCAGAAAAAACAGACTATTTGCTGATTCTCAGTATTATTGATACTTCAAAAATCAACTGCCTCATAACTAATTTTTCACACTACAGAATAACAACCATCCTATTTCAAGTTTTATTTTATAACATGATGCTAAAATATACACTTCAACACATAGCATACTCCTAATTTCTAGAAATTGCTGCCTCTAAGCTGTATGACTTCTTACAGTGAGGCCAAATAAAGTAAGCCTTGAAACACCATTTCAGAAAGTATTGTGTTCATATCCCTCACTCTACCCTAAGAAAGGGGTCATGAAGGCTCTAGGTATTTCAGACCGAGAATTTGCAATATACATTTATCCCTAATATTAGAGTTGTTTAGTAGGCCCTCAGCCCAATGTGATGGCAAGTCAGTATATTTCTGAAGTTTGCATGGAAAGGGAATATCTGGTGAATATCTCTGTCATGAATAATTTGTTTTCTGAGAAGTGACAAAACATGAAAAGGCCTTTCAGGTTTCTTTGTTTTCTGTTTAGTCTTCTGATACTATCAGATAAGAAAGAGCTGAACATCCCCATATTTTATTACGTATATTTGTATTCCCTTTCTCTACTGCACATACAGAGAATAATAACTTCTAAGGTGCAGAAGTTACAAAGACACTTTGTAAAAGTGTAAAAGACACTTTACAAAGATTGAATTGAATTTTGTACCTATTCCACACACCAATCATCGTCAGAGGTGAACCATGAATACTGGAATGTATTTCCCACTTGCTGTGAGTCAGCTGCAACACATGAAAGCCCAGAGCCAAACGTTAGCTGTGTTAAGACCACTGGGTTTACACAAGATTGTTTTGTTTGGATACCTAGTTGGATGACTTTCAGGTTTTTTCATATTGAACTGAGGAAGAACTACTGCATGAAAATGGAAGAGAAAACTAAAGAAAGATTTCTTAAACAAAAAAACCCCCCAAGAACCTGTTTCATAACTAATAAGAGAAACCTGTCTTGCACTGGTTACCAGAAGACAAATTCTTTGTTCAGTGCAGTAGTGCAGCAGGAAGATACAAATATGTGTGCCTATGTGCTTTATCAACGACCTATGACAGCACTCACAACGGAACACAGGAGATATTCTAGAGGATCCCAAACTTCCAGGATAACTTTCTCTCCATTTGGTGAATTACTGTCTACAGCTTGAAGAATATTTTCAGTTTACCTTTTCTTTTTACTTAACATAATCTCTAATAAAAATGTGCATTCACACTTCAACCAGAACCAAATCCATTTGAGCTCCATCTGTCTCTGAAACAGACTCTTTGTTTCCAGAGGAAACGTAACTCCTTCTGTCATTGAGATATAGGTCGACATGCAAGTCTCCAGAGCTAGATCATCAACATTTCTGTCTGAGATAGCATGGATGAAAAGCAGTCAGAAAACCAGGCCACTCTCAATTCATTAAAAGCCTTGAAGACTAGGAATAAGGATATTAACTTTTGTGAAGACTTAAGCATGCCAGCAGAAGAGTTCTCACAGGTTTGATAGATGGCAGTTTTTGCAGTATCTAATACATAACATCAGTAAACATCAGCTTTTCTGTGGGAGGCATGCTCTATGTCTAACAGAATGGCAGTCATCTAAATCAAGTAATAAAGGAAAAAGAATTACCTACCATAACAGATATTCCTGGTCCCATTAGGAAGAAGATTTCTAGCTAGTCGGAGAAGTATACAGGCATTTCTTACCATAAATGTAACTTATTTGCACATTTGGAACTGGGGTAAAATTTGGGAAGTCTTCTGATGTTTCTTAGTGCCTTAACCATCTCTGGTAGGAGGTAGTGCTCTTGACCATGGATTTATTGAGATTTACATGGGAAAGACTGACAATGATTTCTTTGAAGAAAATTTCTGCTAGTAGATCAGAGAAATGGCAACTTCATTGAGAAGTCTTTTCGTTTGCTAATGATTCCCTCCACTTACCAGGGACATAAATTGCACTAATTTTGGAAATGACACATTGGACAAAGAGATACTTCTCTGAGCTCAGTCAGAAGAAAAAAACCAATTTGATGCATTGTGACAGTTTGTCCAAAAACATAACACAGAGGTGACAGGATGAGAAAAAAGACTGATCTTTCTTAGTAGTTGTTAAAATGGCTAGATATTTGAAAGCAAGTATCCATCACTGCACTGATGTCTAACTTTTAAATATTTTTGTAGATGATGGCTAACTTCTAAAAACTTTACTTTGTAACTTACAAATGAACCCCTTAATTTCAAGTGCTAGTGCTATTTCTCAGTGTTGTCCTAGTATGAGCCTTTCATGGATTGAGTATGTTTACTTTGAAAAAAAAGGATTTGGCAACAGGTAACATCAGGGGTTTTTAAAAAATAGTAAATATACATTGTTCTATCTGATTTTCATTGCTATTAAAAAAAATAATAACAAAAGAGAAAATCTAAAAATAAGTGGCGATATGTAGAAACACTTTGATTCAGCTACTTTATGAACACTAAGTCTGTTTTCTTCATATTTTCCAGCCATCTAATAAATGGTGAGCCACACAAGAACTATTGAAAATAACTAACCTTTGTCTTGGTTTTAATAATGGTCTTCTACTGAGATTGTCATTTGTACTTCACCCTGCCCATCTTTCTAAGAAGAAATAATTAGCCTGTGTATTCTAGCAACCCTGATGTAATGACTTGAGTGCTCTTTGCTGACACTGACATCTCAATGCAGACTCTACATGTGGACTGTACTGTGAAATTGGGTTATCATACTATACCTGTTGGCCAAGAGCTGTGACCTAGTTCCGGAAGGAGAGGTTAGGTAAATTGCCAAGTCTCCACGTCGAGGGTGAGTAATAGTGATACGCACAACAACATGCTCCAAGTAGATCACATGGTGGTTAGGATTATCTGAACAGCCAGTGGCTTTGTAAATTGAACGGACAATGCTGTCAGGTCGTATTGTTCTATAACAGAATCACAGCAAACAACATCAGCACTTCTTGCTTTTTGTGTAAAATACACAATCCCATCTCTTTTGCTTAGTAGAGAATGACAGTGTTGGACAACTGAGAAGTCAGTAGCCTATAGTCATTAGTTTTGACGTGTACTTTCTAGCTGAAAATATCACTACAGGGTAATTATTTTACTGCTGATAATGGCTAATGGCAACTGCCTGGGTTTCTGATAAGCACATACACAAGGTAAAATAGGAATAAGCCTTTGGGACAGAGCATTATTGTGGATTAGTGGCAAGCTGAGAATTGCTGAGATTGTCATGGGATCACAGCTGGTTGCTAAACCCCAGGAAATGCCTGGCATAGCTAGTCCTTGTTTACGTAACAGCAAGTATTGCATGTTAACTGTACCAAAAGGCATCTGACTCAGCTGGTTTAAACTGGCATGACATGCTTGCAGACTATACCAGTTACGGATCAAACCTGTCAAATACAATTATCAAACAATATTCTTAATGCTTTGGAAGTATGCCCCATGCTTGATGCTGTCTCTGTATCCACGGAGTGCACATAACAGATTTTTGCTCTAGAGACCCCATCTTAGTGAAAAGCAGTTTAATCTTGGCCTCTGAACTACAGATTCTGCTAAGACTATTGGAAAGAGACATCATACAGATCAAAAGCATATTTCCTTGTTACATCCTTGACTGCTAAGTCTGTACTCTTCTTGGAAAGGTGACTGAAATGCATTCAAAGAAACCTTCTTCTTTGATGCATCATCTTTGATGCATTAAAATCCATCATTACCCAGTCTGGCCTGTTTTACACCTCTGCCTTCTGCAATGTTCTTTAAACTAGGGCCTGTTCCCATGCACTACAGCCATAAATGTGACAAAATCCCTGGTACAGCTTTAAAAATGATACATTATGCACAATGCAATGGAGGGGTAAATTATACCCAATTTCTTTCCAAAAGCTTATGCCAGCAAGAGTTTTGGTAGCGGGTATTACTTGATTTGCCGATCTGTGTTTTCCACACACACATGCTGTGGAGGCACCGTTGTCCACTTTTCTGCTTCTGTCACCATTGCTTCAGCATCCATAAGTCCAAATCCATAAAGGTGGCTCACTGCAAGGTACAAAGAGAATGGATACAATTATAGCATAAACTCTTGGGTTTCATAATTTCATTACTAATTCCAGAGTGTCACATCCTAACAGGAGTTACTTTTTTTCACTTCTTCCTTACTTTCATTCACAGCTTCAAAATCTCATTGCCAGGAACAATAATGACTGTATCTAATTTGTTCAACAAATCTATTCACTGCTTTATTACAGAAGTGGCATAAGGCACTACCTGCATTGCCAAACCATGAATGCCAGCGACTAAAATCACCTCTAACTGCTCTTTGTCCATGTGCCTTAATTTAGCTCAGCCCTCTTGTATGACAGAGAGCTAACCATAATGAATGAGAGGAAGGTTACCTCCATTATTCAAATACCAAACACGTGCATGTGTATTCAAGGAAGCTAACTGAGACAATAGATTTGAGAAGGAACAGACCATTCCTTAACTTCCATATTCTCTGAACTTCCCTCAGTGTAAGCAGCATGTGCATGCTCTCCTGTTCCTGTATACAGTATGCTTGTCATTGGCCAACCAACCAGGTAGATCCATCATCTCCCTAAAGCTGTCTGCGTGATGAGGGTGAAAAGCACTTACTGAATCAGCTGTGTGTTTCTGGTTGCTGTTCCAATCGAAATAGGGATTTGCAAAAGGGTTTTGATGAATTGGAAGTGCTGCTAGCCATGATGTTCCATTGTGACAAATTTGTGCTTTTGGTTAAGTTCTGACATCAGAAGGTGAAAGAAAAAAAGCTTCCACAGGAGGAGTTTAGACAGCAAATATTAATAAATCAGTTTTTCTTGCTACCACAGAAACCCACAGAGAATTGTAAGTGCTATTTTAACCAGCAATGCAACAAAGCATGGTTTAAGTCCTTCCAACTACACCCTGTAGAGGGTTTGTGAAAGCAGTATCTACTCATTGACAAACTAAAATTCAGAGGACTCCATTTGAAAAAATCCCAGCCTTTTCAAACAAATACAGTCCAAAGCTTAGGGATCACATCTTCCAAATATCTAACACTGTCTGAAACTGCCAGCTGAAAAGGATTATTCAGTGAAAAATACAGCAAGGTGTAGTGACTGTGGACTGGTTTTCTTCCCATCTCCTTCCCTGTGAGCCCCAAACCAAAGTGCACATAGCATGGAAATGTTTCTTTGGAGACAATTACACGCAGCTCTTCTGCCATATGAGGGCAAGCACTGTGTTCTAAAATGAAACACAATTACAATATATGAAAAGAAACACATTTAGCCTTCCTTCAGCCTTCTGAATTCTCTTTTATGTATACAAAACACAAATGGATAGGGAAAGAGATGTCGTATTTCTATATGTTGGTGGAGCAGGCAAAAGAAGACAAGGAGAGTTTAGAGTTTAGTTTACACTTTGCATTATGAAGAAGATTCCTGTGATGGAAATGTCCTTTGTCTTAGATATCATCCTGCAAACACTGCATTTGATAATGAGTGCATATTTATATATGAAGACATAAGTCTGGTCTTACACTAATATTTTAATTAATAATCCTTCTGTCTGCTTGGAAGATCAGTGGGATGAACAAGAGTCTTAACTCACACGATCTGTAACTGCAAACAGGTATTCAGTATAGTACATTGAAAAAGCAAGGGATTAAACTTTCATGAATGGAAATTTTTTTTCGCTAACCCAGAGAAAATGCATTTTTAATTCCTGACTGTTAGCAACTTACATTGAATTAGAGCTCGAGATGTCCAGTTAGAATGCTGCATGTTCAACCCACCTTCTGAGCTCAAAAAGCCAAAATTCTCCTCACCTCACATTTTCTTAATCAGAAACAAGGGCAGAGAAGCACGTAACATTGCCACCATCAGTCAGTGACCTTCAGATGGAAACTTACGTGACTTTTAAACTATTTACCCCTAGATTTTTTTCCCTCTACTATGCACATTAAAAATGCAAATAAAATCTATAGAGTGAACTCTCTATCCTTCCTATCCTAACAATTACTTGGAAGACAGAATTTAGAAGGAATTTTCATCCAGGAGAAAAAAAATATTGTTTAAGGTTATGTGGTTGTGTTAATTGTCCTGACTCAATGTTTAAAATCTCTTGCATGAGAGCAGCAGGGTAGTAATAAGCTCTGCATCTGATGGGTTTTTTTTCCTCAGCTGAAACAGAAACACTTTTTTCCTTGAAAGGCTTTCCCACTGAAATAAAAACTTCCTGACAGATAGGGTTACTCTTACATCCTCCCATGTGGACTGACATTTGGCTGTCCAAAACATTTCCAATTCAAAGCCCTTGATCCAGTGGGTTGGTTAGCAGCTGAAGGTACCTGTAGAGGCCCATAATTTTCAAAGACCAAACTGTAGCAATTTAGGAAAGAATCACAGAGTTAAATAAAGTAGCAGTGTCTTAAAGAAAAAAAACAACAGATTTTTCTCTCTACTACCTTCAAATTGTGCTTCTTCATCTGTGTACATCCTAGTATTCCTGTGAACTACATGCCAAGGTGCCTGTCACAAAGGTTAAAAATAACCTGGTGGTCTCCATGGAACTATAAATGCCTTCTAGAAAACATTCGGAACTGCCACTGATTCTCATGCAAAAGATACTGAGCTGACTTTGTTAACTCAGATTCATCAAAAGCACCGATCTGAAAGGTAATTTTGACTGCAGAGTGAGATAACTGCAAGTGCAAAATGCCTCCAGACCTTGCACCTACCAATTTATGTGCTCTGCATTATCACTGCTGTGACTTGCTAGTGGGCTGAGTTGTTGCTAGGAATCATTACACGTCAGAGGGGGTATTGGGCTATTTTGTAAAAAGATGTTTGTATTTCACAAAGAAAATACCAATACGAGGCTGATACAACGTAAGTTGGTGGCTGAGGAGAAGACTGCTTCTTTTACTCAGCTGAAGGATTGAAAAATGCAATCTCCTTATGTGACCAAAGTGTCCACTGGTAGAGCTACCTTGAATTCTCTCTCCAGTCAGGCAGCAGTAAAAATTGATTATTTTTATTACTGTAAAATCACAGGTATACACAGAGCCTTACAGATGCAGGGCATATTTAAGAGAAAAACTTGGCTCCCACAACGAAGTAAATACTGAGTTTTACCTATCTTTTAAATATTTCTTAAAGGTGTTTTCATCTTAAAAATGAAATAGCATTTCTCAGGGGTAAAGTCCATGACAACAAGGCCGTCTGAGCTGCTGGAGACTTCCCAAGCTTTTTCATAATCTCCTTTTTTTGTCTGAAATTGCTCTTAAAATTCAGTAACTTTCTCATTTACATACAAAGCCACCCTCAAATCTAAAGTTAGGACGTATATCTTATTTGACTTGATTATGAGAAATATGAATAGCTGATGTTGATAAATCATAACAGAGAACCATGCAGACTTCAGAAAAATTTGGCCCAGACACTAAAAATATGGCATTTCCAGTGTAGCTAAACTTAATTTGTTAGGCTGAAGTTTCATTGCCTGTCATCAAGATGCCTCAGCAGTAACTGAGACACTAAGCCTTCCTTGCTATTTTACTCATCTGACAAAAAGCTTGCATAAAATTTTCTCCCTACTATATTTTTGGTTCTGTACTGTGAAAGCAGCATTTGAAATATAAATATTTTGTATACACATATCTAATGCTACATCAGGAGAAAAAGAGTAATAATTTCAGTGGGACATGAGTAACATGCAGCTTCCTCAACTAGATTAATCTGTTTGATATGTGAACTATAATGCTAAATGTAGTCAATTTATGCTACAGTAGGATCTTGATCCAAAATGAGATTGTCAGAATATGAGTCTAAAATGCCCATTAATACTATAGTTTTATTTAAAGTTGCTTATCAGGTCTAGAATATGTGAGCCTCTTGAGTTACTCTCAGCCCATAAAGGCTTTTAACCATCCACACCAATCTTTTACGTTTGACATTTTAATTGCAAATAGAATGAACTAATTCTATAATGCTTTAACAATTCCATATTGCTTTTCTGTCATTTGCTTAGAATATCGAAATGTTTCAACAAGGAAAAAAAACTGTCTAACAAGAATTACAGGGGCAAAAAGGGGAGAAATGTTATGATGACATGGTTTAAACCATTATTTTGTCATGTCCTCTCTAAGACAACACTGATCTTGAAAAATAATTCGTTTCAGCCATATTCCTATTTCATGTCAACTTATGACCAGTTATCTGTTACAACTGAATTTGATTTCTGAAACACTTAACTGCTTTATAAGCCAGTAACACAAGTATGCAAGAACATGCTTTTTCATTCTTGCTTTTATAACCAGCTCTCTCGTGGGTTTCAAATTAAGCATGTTATTAGTATTTTTGTATTTTACACAGAACAATCCCTCAAATTTTGTGCCTAAAACCAAATGAAAGAGCAAACTAAGTCCTCCTCAAAGAATTCCCTGAAATCCAGGAATTTTTAAAGACTCAGTATGGATGTGGGAAGATGTGAAAGACTGGATGTGGGAAGATGTGATAAGTGTAAGAACTCATCACCACACTAGAGAAGGTTGTGAAAAACAGAAAGATGGCCAATAGATTTGTCTTAAAAGTGGCAGTTACAAAGATGTACAATGAGAGTCTGAAGGGCCTCTACATCACAGTATCACTGATCACAGAATGATTTGGGTTGGAGAGGACATTTAAACCTCATCTAGTCTGACCTCCCTGCTATGATCAGGGACACCTTCTACTCCACCAGGCTGCTGAAAGCCCTGTGCAATCTGGCCTTGAGGCACTTCTAGGGATAAAGCATCCACAGTGTCTCTGGGCAACCTGTTCCAGTGCCTCACCATCCAAATAATAAAATTTCAGAATCACAGAATATTAAGGGGTTGGAAAGGACCTTAAAGATCAACTAGTCCCAACGCCCCCTGCCATGGACAGGGACATCTACCCCTCAGGTTGCTTAAGGCTTCATCCAACCTGTTTTTGAATACTGACAGGGTTGGGCATCCTCCCTGGGCAACCTGTTTCAGTGTCTCACCACCCTCACAG